GGAGAAGGGATTGCTGTGTGGCCATCCCCCCTGGGGAGTGATTTCTCACTTTCTGTCTCTCTTTCTTTCTCTGTCTCTCCAGCAAGTGCATGCACCCTAGAGCAAAATTCTCTCTTAAAAAAAAGAACGAAATCATGCTGAGTGCATGTGTGTGCACGTGTGTGCTCAGAGTCCCAACAAGGGGGGAGAGACAGAAAAGGAACTGTGGTCTGACCACCCCCCATGGAGGCTGTCTCTGCCTTCTCCCATTCCCTGTCTCTTTGTCCCATACCCTCTGGCAATTTAAATACATAAATAAATAACAATAAAGCTCAGGGACCAGCAGATGGCGAGATGGTTATATTGCTGGATTCCCACACAGTCAACCACAGTTCAAGTCCCAGACCTGATGGCTTAAACCTCACGTAGGGTACATGTGTGCGTGCGTGCCCATGATCCTGAGAGAAGAATGCAGGAGAAGGGATTGCGGCGTAGCCATCCCCACTAGGGGGTGATTTCTCGCTTTCTGTCTCTGTCTCTCCAGTGAGTAACAAAAAATCTCTCACACGGGAACCAGCAGTTAGCGTAATGGCTATGTCTCTGGACTCCCATGTAGTCGACCGCGGTTCGTGTCCCAGACCCGGTGGCTTAAAATTCACGCCGGGCGCGTGTGCATGCATGCCCAAGATCCCCAGAGGAGAATGGAGGAGAAGGGATTGCTGCATGACCATCTCCCCTGGGAGGTGATTTCTCGCTTTCTGTCTCTGTCTCTCCAGTGAGTAACAAAAAATCTCTCACAAAAAAAAAAAAAAAAAAAACTCTCACTTAAGTAAACAATAAAGATCAAAACAATCTAAGTGACCATAAATAAAAGACTAGTTAAGGGGGAAAAAACACGTGGAGCATTTTATACTGTGACCTCATTTGGGGGGAGAAGAGTTTCCGTGTGTACATGTTACCTGTGTGTCTGTAAATGCACAGCACCGTCACCAACAGTGGCCACCCGCGGAAGGGGACAGTCATTGGAACTAGGGTGTAACAGGAGCTTTCATTAGACATTTTTTCTAAATTCTGCCAGAGGCCATGTGCACTTGGCAGAGAGAGGGAAACGAGAAACACCTCCCCTAAGGAATGGGCCACGCCGCAGTTCCTTCTCCATTCTCCTCTCAGGATGTTGGCATACACACACACGTGCCCAGCATGTTTCTGAAGCTGCAGGGTCCGGGACTCAAACAGGCACTTGGCCAGGATCCAGCCACCTTAACCACCACGCCACAGGTTGGCTGTAATTAGACTTTAAAGTAAGAATAGTTTTATGAAAGAGGAAGAGGCTTTGATGTCAGACAGCCCTGGGGTGGAACCTTGGTCTGCACAGATAACTCCCTCCTCTCAGTGACCTGCCTGTAAAATGGGGATAACAGTCCTCCTGCACAGGGGCTCCAGGAAGACGAGCGAGGTCGTGTGGGGAAAGGCTGGCACTTAGTAGGTGCCCCCAACATGATCGCAGTTACGACACTGACGCTCAGCATGTGCACACAGCGCACGATGTTTGGGGCACTTTTCATAAACAGCAAAGAATTAAAATTGCATGCGTGCAGATGAAAGCACCAAAACCTTATTAAACCCATCTGTTCTGTCGAGAACCTGAGGCCAATACACTTGGTTTTCCGTTCTTTTATGAGACCCTGAGCCATTTCTATAAAGAGAAAGGAGGAGGAGGAAAAGGCAGGGAGGGAGGGGAAGAGGG